AATATAACTTTCATTAGTACATGGACAGGAACTAAATTTCAAAAAAAAAAAAAAAAATACCGAGATATAGGACGGTATTATTATTATTATTATTTCATATCGCGTATATTTTGGTAAGGCCAATTTAATCCAGGAAACCCGAAGACATTAGTGGACGGTACCTGCTGTGTTCACGGGGGGAAGGGTTGAAAAAATGTATAAGTTAAAACTCACGCAAAACGTACGCACTTAATTTCCGTAAAAGGGTCACGATAATAATATAAGGTGGTGGTGTTGAGTGTTTAAGTTTCTTACATTTTTTTTTTTTTTTTATTTTTTTTTTTGTGTTTTTTTTCGTCTCGTCTAACACAGTTAATTGTGTAGCCCTTGTCCACGCCCACCGTTGTCATCAACTGTGCGGTCATTAGCATATAAACGAAGCAAAAGCGATACAATATTATTATTATTAAGTGTCTGGAAAAACTGCAGAGCCTTTTTTCCGTATACCTAATAACAATATTTCTTTGGGCAAACGACAAGTACTTTGTAATCGTATTCTGGTCACGTATTTTGCGAGGTGAGAAAAAGTAGTTGTTAAAAATTACGCTACTTAAGTTGCCTCTGTACAAATCGATCGGTTCAAATATTTTTATTTTGCATACATAGATGTGACGATCACGAGATCAAAAAATTGCTAATTATACACACAAAATTTGAAACGACTACCTATAATAAAATTAACCACGAATATATATATATATATATATATATATATATATATATATTTATAAATATAAATTACAATAGTATTTAATCTATACCTTTAGCATTTAGCGTACATGCGCGCGCACATCTTTTCATTTTTCTTCTTTGTCGCTTCAAAACAATTTATCTGATAACTATCCGTGCACACGTCATCAAGTATACAGATACCATCTATATGTCGTCAAAGTAACGTGCGTTTGTGTGTATATAATACATAATATATGTACCTATATATACGTAGGTACGCGTTGTATTGCATCTATAATCTATATGCACTCGGCTCTCATATTTTATCACTTTATAAGTACATGTTTATATACATATAAACATATAATATATATATATATATATTTGTATAATACAAACTTGTACACGTTGTGTGAAATATATATTATAATATCTAATATACAAGACTACAAGAGTGTGATCGGGCAACGTTCCAAGTCCGACGACAGCCGATGTCCCGCTCGTTGTACGACGTATATTGTGCGTGTATGGAGTGTGTGTGTGTGTGTTTGTGTTTGTATGTACGTGTTTATAAGGTGCAAGTGAGTGAGCAAATATTGAGTGTGTGTGTGTGTGTATAGAAAGTGTCTCCGAACGGGGTCGCTTTAGGTCTAGTTCGCGGTGTACGATGATTTACAGCAGAATTTATCGACATTATATTATATACACGTTGGGTTAATGAAAAAGTGGACAAAGTTCATTAAGTATGTAGATTCAGTTGAACACTTCAAGGCAATAAATTATTGGTCACGTTCCGAATGGATTAAATCGACTTCTTATATACCTATAATTCTTTTATTTCATTTTTCTTTTCTTTTTTTTTCTACATATTGACGGGATTACTTCTTTGCTTACTCGATATATTTTTTTTCTTATTTTTCCAATCTGGCGTTCGTTATATGTATACATAATGTGCGTGTATATATATATAGACTTGTGTACGCGCACCGTAGCGGTTATAGGACGCGTACACATAGAGAATGTTAACGGAAAACAAGCCGTTTATGGGCACGAACGACATTTATTGGACGTAGGCACGCATCGGTAAAAAGAAAAAAAGATTATAATAATCCACCCAACTCGCTCACAAACGTATACCGCTTATCTTAACAGATTTTTCCTCTTTTTATCCATCCAATTTATGTGTACACAAATACGGCCGTATAATACAATTTATCATAATATTATATATAACACACATATATATTATTATACTATGTAGACATGTAGAAACACGTCATTATAATATATTATATTGACATAGGTAAATATAGGTAATAATATAGGATAATAAAATGAGCATGGGATAAGTTCGGACATCATAAAGTTATACAGTGTTGTTCGTGTTGTTTTCAAGGTGATCGCTACCATAATATGATGTTATAATGTTGCAGTTGAAAGGTTAAGATATAGTATACATGGACTAATGTACTAACAATATTCTATAATCAGTTATTAATTCCCAGCCACAACTCAGCATTTTTCGATTTCAATCAAATCGTTTTATTATTAAATATAATAACTATAGGTATAACTAACTATTAATCGTGAACGTTATTATAAATTTATATAATTAATATTCATATCATATTTTCTTATATGATATTATTATAATTTGTTATTAGAAAAAAATCACATCCGTCAGTATTCAGTAGTTTATAAAAATAATAACTAGATATTGCAAATATATATGTTAAGAACCGTAATGCGGTAACAGTAAAATTGCGGTAGCTTGCATAATAATATATAAACCGATATTATTAAGGATTGACCACTGAGATTTTACATCATTATTCGTATAAATACCGTGTGATTTAAACGATTAAAAACCACACGAAAAAAAAAGGTCGGCAAAAGCCAAAACACATCTACCGCGCGGCCACCAACAATAATAATAAAAGGTCTTTTTTTCTCCGTTTTAATCCCGTCAAAGGGTTGAAAAGGGACTAAATTCAATTATTTATATTGTACTCACTTTCTGCAAACAATTACCAGACTTTTTTTTTCCTCTTCGAAGAACTTTTTATTGGAAAAACAAAATAGCCTCCACCCCAGTTATATTGCCACTTACCTGTCGTCAAACCGTTTTACCGTGTTATTATTATCATTGAATATTATTATTATTTCACTTTGTTCCATCAGACACACTCGGACTATATAATTACCTATACACGGCCCGTTTTATCAAAAAACGCAATTTTTAAACTTCACACATGCACTCGATACACGTAAATGTAATAATCGTAACAATACTATCGCTGTACGTATACATCTATGCATAATAATTAATAGTGTATAATATTGTATACCGACGTGTGTGTGCGCGTGTGTGTATAGACGGTATCGGACAATAAACGAAAAATACTATTGTCATTAGCCACTGTTGTGCGTGCGGGCAATCGACAGAATGACGTATATGAATTTCGATATTGTACGCATAATATATTTTATTATTTTGTATTTTTGTGGACCCCCAGTGTTTTAAATCATTCTAGCAGAGCCGAATTGTTTTTTTGACCAAAAAACAACGCGATGCCGGGGACTGTAAATAATATTATAATAATGAAAATACGCAAAAAAACCGAAGGGAATTGGACAAAAAATAACACTGCCGCGGCGAAAAATATGAACGATGCGATTTATGTGTCCACCCGTTTCGGTACATAAATCTCGTGACATTGTATAGATGTATTATACGCATATATGTGCACATATATACACAGTTTTTGTGCCGTTTTTCCGAAAATCATTCAGGGAAAAATCCACCCGGTCTGCCACCCGCGTGTTTTTTATTACACTGCCCTCAATCACATTTGTTTTGGCAGCCGTATACGTCATTTTAACGTGATTATATAATACACATCATGTATATGTATAACGCGTATAGGTAATAACACTATGTCGCGGTATATATATTATTTACCATACCGTAAACGTAGCTTCCCCAATCAAACAAACAGACGAAAAAAAAAACAGTTTGGAATATAAAGCTATACGATAAACAAAAATTTATTACATTTAGGCACTAGACGCATTCCGCTTTCACGCACCTTTACAATAATATCATAGGTATGAAAATAATCGCCGGTTGTCTGTATATACGCACAACAGTATTTTATTAAATACGTGCGCAGTCGTAGCAGACGAGTATTATAATATTGTGTTCGTTTTGAATTTACCACGGGCCTTTGTAAGCCGCCTTTGTATGCGCGCATAGGTTCACTATACAGTATTATATATATATATATATATGTACATATATAGGTGCTATACGCGGTCCGCACGTTAGAATTTCTATGAGTATTCTCTCACGGAAGACGCGCCAAGAAGCGTAGTGAACAAAAAAAACAAAAAATAAATATCATAATAATAAAAAAATTAAATAAATAAATTAGTGAATCAAATGAAACGCTCGCGTTAAAACAAAAGCGTCCGCGGGGATCGCGTTGCAGGCTGCGAAAAGGGGTTAAGACGAAAGGGGATTTATTATATTTGTTGGTGCAAAAAACGCACATATCCGGATAAAATTACCATAACGTGTCGGTAAAAATGTAACAAAAGAATATCTAATTGGATACGCGCGGTTCTCAAGGTGCCGCTGCAGTGTGTATCACTCGCGGCGGGACATATAGGTGCACTACGGTAGACGACGGCAGTGCAGTGCGTACGCGTATAATACTGCAGGTATATAGGTCCACGCGTATTATATAGTAATATAATGTAATAAAATATAATACGCGAGATGTTAAAAACAAAAAGGGAAAAAAAAAACGTGAAAAAAAAAAAATAAATAATAAAATAGTATAATATAATATAACGACGACTACGAAAAAAAAAATAAAAAATCAGATGGCATCATAGGTACTGCAACGTGTTAAAACAATAGCGGCTCTTCCTTCCGCAAAGGACCACATTTATATATATATATATTATATCGCTGCAGTGCGCTCGTACGTAGGTATATACGTTCGAGTACGGCGCTGTATAATGTTTGTCAGTATTTGCATATGAAACGGCTGCGCGCGTATATACGACTGCAGCGGCGGTATAACCGGTTACGATGGCATTTTTTTTTTTTTTCCTTTCTACAATACTTTTAAGTTTTTGTTTTCTTCCGACACGCTATTATTATTATTATTATTATTATTGTGCGATTACTGTTGTACGGGGTTAAACCGCGCGTACTATTATATTATTATTATGCGTTTTCGTTGTTCACGCGTATTACGTATTTTGTTTTCGTTTCGCAGGAGAACGACCGTACAGATGCCATTTGGCCGAGTGCGGACGAGCTTTCATACAGCTGTCCAATCTGCAGCAACATCTCCGCAACCACGACGCCCAAGTGGAGAGGGCCAAAAACCGGCCTTTCCACTGCACCATCTGTGGCAAAGGTTTCGCCACCGAGTCCAGTCTGCGCACCCACACGGCTAAGGTGAGCAGACGTTGTTTCTATACATAATATTATACGTATATAGTTATTCCGTTCGACAGAGTAAGGCACGTGTACGGGGTGCCGCCCGGACATAGTGTAACAACACATTTATATACAAACATTATACGCGTTACTTGTATATATATATATATATTGTACAGCAGGTGTCCAACGCTTATTAATAAAAAAAAAAAAAAAAAAAAACAATATTATATACCATCAATCGTGCTATGTGTGTACACATATTGTATGAGCACATACGCGTGTTTCTTGTATCGTCAAAAAATGACGTTATATTATTTACGGACAAAATATTTTGTCAGTTTTAATCGAATTTCCGCTTACCAAATGCTGCGGTGTAGTCGACCGAACTGTTAGTACGACGGAGCCCGCGAGTGTAGCAGTGACGTGAAGGTAGACGACTTTGACCCAGTTTTTTTGTGGGAAAGGGGATTTTCTCCAGGGCGATGCGTAGGTTTTATCGGTCCCCGTGTCGGCGATGACGGTGATATAAAGTGTATATTATAGTTGTCGTCATCGTCGTCATGACCTATGAGTTATGACGTTATTGCTGACGATGGTGTGCAACATGATCATAGTTTTGTGCATTTGCGCCCCGTTGTCGAGGGGAAAATCAGCAGATGATAGAAAATTCAAGAGTGATATTATATTGTATACAATTTAAATAGCTAAATATTTATCACAGACATGTCCTGTGATGTTATTCGATAGAATAAAATAGGTTAGAGAAAAGTTTTTTTCTTTTTTTACTGCACACATAATATCGAAATGTATATAATAACTCTTTCTCTTACGTATGTATATAAATATATATTATGCACGTATAATGTACATAAAATATACGCAGTTGCTGACTAGTCGTACGGATTTTTAATCGTTTTGTCACGATAACGACCGCAATAATATTTTCCTCGTTATGGAGTTATATTATATTATTATACACGTATTAAAACCGTCTTCATCGTGGTTGCCGAGATTGCATTACACGCAAGCGTACACCGTATTACTATCACTGTTATTATTATATTATATTATATATGTAGTTGAACGGATGATGAGGGCGAGTGGAGTAGCGGATAGCGCCACGGCCAATGAAATATAGTGACAACTCGGTGGCTTATTTGAAAAGTTAATGGGAAAAAGCTGGCGAAAAGGGTTTTTAATTCTTACGGACATCTTATATTTTTAGTTAATTTTGTTATTTCTTCAAATATGCCACGTTACGATTTTCGCTACTGTAATTAAAACTGCGAAAAATGGACTTTATTTCCCCTTTCCGCCTCACTATTCCACCAACACCGCTATTGCCGCCGACCGGCATCACGAGTCACGACGCCTGATGATCAGGCTAAGCAACAAAATCATTTTTTCCTCTCGCTTTCGATAAATACTGTAAGACCACCAAGTACGCAAAACTAAAAATAATCAAATATTTTTTTAATTCTGAGTTCTGTTAAAATATATACATTTTTCATATCGATAAAAATACACGTAGGTTGGTATTTTTATTATTTCGTAAACGAAACTTTGGGCCAACGTGTAAATGGATGCTGTAATCATATTTTTCCGACGTCACTTTTATATTTTATTCACTCGTATAGTCGTGTATATATATAATTTTGTAGGAAATCCAAAATTATATGTAGTGTAAAAGAAAAAAAGTTTATGCGGTATTATTTGTCGTATACTCGTACGTGTGCCAAGTTGCAATAATAATTATTTCAATAGTGTAGTCATTACTTCTACGAGTCGTTTGAAAATATTAGACATTATGACATTGTTTTAATAAAAACACGTTTTAAACTATGACAATTCCGTAACGCAAACTTTCGAAAATTATAAAACAAGTGAAAATGTTTTTATTTATTATATAAAAATAAGTTTTGAAAAATGATCGAGTCATAATTTTTAGTAGGTACTTATACGATTAAAATGACATTTCATGTTTTTTTTTCTACTTTAGATGGTGCACCTTTCATTTATGATCGTTGATTATTATTTATTGTTAATTTATGCCTTAAAGTTTGTATAGTCTAACGAAAGGGTGAAGCATTTAACGTAGTGGGGTAAAAAGTTTTTCTTCTTGTTTTAAAACAACGCTTCACTTCTTTTTTTTCGTTTTTTTTTTTTTTGTCGTGTTGAATTAACCAAAGTGTTTATTGCCTTATGCTTTTTTTCCGTGCCATAAAAAGTCATACCCGTATATTATTGTTGTAATGTATAAATAATTATTTTTATATGAATGCGTGTCCTTGATTGTGTCTATTCAATAATATTGTGGCAGTGATGTGAAATACTTTTCTGAGAGTATGTTTATAAATTGAATTTCTGCATAATATTCGCCAAGTGACCGATCCATAAAAATAGAAACAACTATAAACACATTCTCGGGTCGTTAAACTTGGCGTAGCCATTCCAATGTGTTTTTGTGCAATTATTTTGATTTACCACAAAACATACTTCAATATATTTATGCGAACAATTCTAACTAATAAAACGTAACTGATTATGCTGTTCCTCAAAATGTGTGTGGTTCAGCCAGACCGCACTTAATTTACAGAAATTTTATTTTTTCATTTCAAATTTATATATATTTGTATGTTCTTTTATCGTCGTAATTTCAAATGTTTAATAGGGCGAAAATCCGGTGAAGTGTAACACGAATATAAATTAGAATGAAAAGGGTTGTGCAAAAATATGACGTAACGAAAAAAAAAAACACCACTATTCGACGATATTCATTAAAAATGTGAAAAGGGTATTAAGAGTATTCGTTATTGACCCTTCTTGTGTTCAGCCTTTTATTAACATACTTCTATGCGTATTATGACCCTTATGTATATAAAAAAAAAAAAAAATACAAAATAACACGGGAACTAGATAACACAGATATTTATACATTTTTTACGACGTAACGTATATATTATACGTACAGACTTTTCGTAAATCTTATAAGCCACGTGACGGATCCCGAGGCACTTATTTATGTAGTGCACGAGCAGGTGAACCGATTTACATACTACATATAAGACGATTAATTTTTCAAAAATAGAATAAATTAACACTTGTCGAAAACAAAACGAAAGAATGTTTTTGTTGATTTCTATCGAAACTAAAAAAATAAATTAAGGACCGTTGATTTCTGAACATACAGGTGGTTTGTTCGGTTTCTTTCTTTTATCCGGCGTGGGCGTGTTATTTATTTTTTCAAGCACATTTTTTTTAATAAAAAACAATTCTTTATGTACAGTTACATTTTTTTATTTATTTTTTTTTTTGGCCACTAAACAATTATTTTAATTTCTTATGCATCCTACCTGACATTCAAGTTTTATTCTGGTGCATGTACAATTATATGCGATATGCTCGCGCGATGCATCCCGTGTAGCAGGTGTTAAAACAGTTTGTAGTTCGTATGTACAATGTACATGCACACGATATTGAATAATAATGCAAGTGTCGGGAGTAATTGCACGTTGTCTTGTCGTTTGATTGAATGTACTCGCATTCATAATATTGCTGTAAACATAATAATCGTTATTAATAATACAAAAAAAAAAAAATAAAGTACCGACGCATTGTGCATACATGCATGTCGTTTTAAATAAATAACCCGAATGTTCGACGTTTTAATCCATCTTTCGTATTATTTGTTTTAATATTTCCGATTTTACGGTTTTAAGTATTCTACCACTACAATAAAAACTTACACCGTCATATTTTATCAAGATTTTATTTTCCTTGTAACATGTTTTAAGTTTAGTATGGACTTTTCGACATCAGTACTACTTAAACGTTAACAGAAGAAAATATTCGTCTATACGAAGGCTTTTTTTAGGACCGATTTACTGTCACAATAATTTTACTCTCGTGTATTTTTCACGTTCCCCGAATGTGTTTTACGAGATCGCCGTCAAAAACGTCATCAACAAACTTATTTCATTTTTCAAATATTTCAACTCGCGTTTACTGCTGTACGCACATTTCTAAATAATAGTCTTTATAATACGTATGCTCGCCCGCTCGCATTACAAAACATAACCTATATGTAATATAATATTATAAATGAGTAATCCATTCATACATAATAATAATAATAATAATAATAATATTAACCGTTTAATGGCCTCTCCGCGGGGCAGTTTATAATATATATAATAGAATATGATATATATTAAAGATCGATATCCAGCACGCGCGTTTTCGCTTTTTACTCACTCTCGTACTCATACGGTGTATTATTATATTGTACAGCGTGCGCGCACGTTATAATATTTTATTTATTTCTTTCTTTCTTATATTTTTTAATGGCAGCAGCTCATTATTTTCTCATCCGGACGTAAAAAGCGGGACCGATCTTCGGACCGTGAACGTCGGCGACGGCGGAGAGCGGAGAGCGCACTATAGATAGGTGACGCGACCGACCGCGAGCGGCATACAATATATATATATATATGTGTGTGTGTGTACATGTGCATGTGCATGTGTGTGTGTACGTGTACCTACATATATATATATATATATTATTATATCGTACATATTATAGCAAAGCCGCGCGCACATGATATTCTAATAAGAGGCCATAAATTTTGCGGCGGGCAATACACCGCTCGCGGACGCTCGTGTCGCCGTAGACCACTTTCCGTAAATGGAACGACGACGACTACGACGACGACAGCGATGACGGGGAAACGGCGGCTTGTACACGAAAAACCGTGGAAAGTTTAACCGCATTTTTCTCTACAGTCCGCGTATTCTCGTGCGTACGTGCGAGCGTGCGTGCGTGCGTGCACCGTGAACGTTTCGCTAGAGTCGTACATAATACACTACTACAATATAGGTACAACAGCCGAACACAGTATTATAGGTACCTATAATAACATTATGGTAAAATAAAATAATACGATGATATCGCGCAGATGCGACCGTTGCACGGTATAGAATTACAGTGGAAAAATTTTCGTATATATATATGTAGGTACATTTTTTAAACGCGATCTGATATTATTATTGTTATTATTATTATACCTACGCGCGTCGAGGCGTCCGCGAACACACCGTCGTCGCGGCGTAATGTTTTTTAGCGGCAAGCGCCAACAAGACGAAATAGAACGACGACGCGTCAGTCGAGTAGGAATATTAATAATATTATGTTTGTGCGACATACGCGCTCTCGCTTCGATAACGTCATAACGCGCCGCGCGGCTATTCGTCGTCCGTCTAATTATTACAATTTTTATTTTAATAATGTGCCGTCAACCCGCTTTTCATTTTGAGCATCCGATAAGATAACGCTTACGATTATGTATAACCGAGTCGTGGATCTGCGCACTGGAATTCCATTAATTTTTCCAATTTCATCGTAGTCGTCTCCCCAGTCATATTATTATTATGTTATTATTATTATTATTATATAATCCTTTCTTTTTGCAAACGTTATTTTCGTACATAATCATTTTTTAAGTACTTTTTCGTGGAATAAGGGTTTATAATCGCATATTTTTCTCCGTCTTACTCACTCTTACTCATTGTATTTTCATTTTTCGCTTGTTTTTCTTTTTTTTTTTCTTAAATATGAAATTAATAAATCTATTTTAAATTCAGTAAAAATCGTAAAACCTAAATTATTTTAAAAAAAAAACAGGTCATCTATAGTTACTTGATAAGAAAATACGTTGGTAAACTATATTATAGCGAATCATTCTGTAGGTATGACATTTATTATAAGTAATTTAATTCAGTACGTCGCCGTGGAAAACGATAAAATTCATGAAGAAAATATTAGTTTTATGCAATAATGGTGCATAAATCATTTAGGTACGCAAAGTAAAAGTATTTGGCATTAATATAAAGTTTATATTGGAAATGGTAATGGTCACGGTGAATTTAATGTTTAATAATGACATTTTTCGTTCGCTTTTCGTAAATGTGTACTTACGCGATTATAGTTTCTCGTATAAAAAAATACACAGCATTAAATATTTAAATGACTCGTCAGCGGTTGGATTAGTAAACTTTTAAACTAGGTATTAACGTAAAATATAATGAATACGGGTGAAAAAAAATTATATTTCATCTTTGTTAACATATTTAAGTATAGGCATAATGCTGAATTAAATTATTGAAAACCCATTATTGGTCAATTACAACGTTTTAATTAGTTTTTATTTTATTTTTTAATTCCATAACATGTTTACCGAGTTTAATATTGTACAGTATTACGCCATTGCAAAGAGAAAAAAAATGCTTATTTAAGAAAACACTATTAGATTACCAGGCTGTACATTATTCTGTGTACAAGAACTGGATAGCTATATGTATACTTTGACGAAAGCCATATACAAATCACGTGCAAAAACCGCTAGTAATTATTAACGGTGTCCCGAGTCCAGGCGGGCGCCTATTCTTTCGGCTTTCGAGAACACTCAGACCGATAAATTATACTTTGTTTATAAAATATTTAATAAAAATGTAAATCTCCGCTCCTTGGACGACGCCGCAGACGGACTTTTAATAAAAGTCACCGGGCTGCAAGTAGTCGGAAGGGCTTTTAAAAATTAAAATTACGTTTGTTTTATTGCCATCCCCTTTACTCGTCGACTACTTGTCCTCCCCGGCCGAGTACTTTTTGCTCGGACACATCTCCCAAGGCGCCGATATTGTTACATTCTGTATAGCCACCGCACATCATTGCCAACACTCATACACAATATATATATCATGGCGTATAAATGTAGAAATTGTGTATTTATATTATACGTATAGACGTATAAAACCAGTATATACATAGTTTCGTTCTCGTATGATTTTTAGTCGCACATAATATCGGAACGGGGTGGAAAAAATAATAACGATTAAAATATTATTGTTGTGCGACAATAAACTCCGGTCGGTAAATTTTAGAGCATACAATATACATGAGCGTACAACGATAAATCTGAGCACGCCGTCGCCTAAACAGCAGCGTGCCATAAATTTGATCTTTTCGAGCGTATATTTTGCGGCGTCGGCGACGGTGGTCAGGTTTATGCGTGTACGGCGAACGTACAGTACGGATAGAAATGGCACGTAAAACAAAACGGAAACAGTTATTTATTTTTTATTTTTTCAAAATGGCCATCCAAACTCGCAGCAGACAATATATTTATTTACAAATATAAATATTAGTGTATGTGTGAGAGAGAGAGGAAGAAATAGAGTGTGTGTAATATATGTATTTTGTATATCTAGATGGTAGATTAATACGTGTGTCCAAAGGGACCACGTCGGTATTGTGTTTCTTCACGCGAAGCGGAAAGGAAACACGCTGTGCAATGGCGGCGACTGTGTGTATATTATTATAATTTAAAGTGTCTCCCCCGCCAACAAGTCCCGAACACACGTGTACTTCCGGGTTCGCTGATTACTGGTTACCTGACGTATGTTTTATTGTTATTTTCAGGAACATTTTTTTTATTTTCAGGAAGCTGAACTTCGCATGGATGTGCTCCAACAACACGCCGCTTTGATGGGCGGTGCGAGCACTACGTCTTGTCCGCTGTGCCATAAACTGTTCCTAGGTAGCGAGTCACTGGTCGAACACATGAAAGTCCATCACAACGATCCGACCACCGTGTCGCAGGCCGTCGTACAAAGTAAGTGATAGAATATTATTATTATAATAAACTCGGAGTAAAAACTTGTAGACAATTTTCACATTGGTCTTTTACCGTAGGTTACTCTGATATTGGTACTGGTCCGTACATGGCCAAACGCCGAACTGCTAATCATCCGTGCCCGGTGTGTGGTAAACACTACGTGAACGAGGGAAGTCTGCGTAAACATTTGGCTTGCCATCCAGAAACAGCTCAGTACGCCCAACTCAGGATGTGGCCGTGTTCTGTTTGCCAAGCCGTATTCACCCACGAATCAGGTTAGTCAAAGCGTTGTAGTGATAACATTCGTATCGGCAATGTTAAGATTTTCAGGATATACGTAATAATAATATTATATGCGCATGGTGTATTCTATGTATCATCGCGATTCGTTGAGACTTTCGAGTTTACCGAATTACAAATATAATTCGTGATAGTTATTTATCGTAAAATAAAAATATTTTTTTCGAATTCATACAATCTACATAATATTATGCTCGTGTATATATAAATATGTATATAACTAAACGTATGCACGACATCATATCTAGATTTATATACGATATAGTCATATACACGTACATTATTGTAATGCATATTTATTTATAATAAACACATAATAATAATAATAATAATAATAATACGTACACCTGGATCTCAATGGATCGAATCCGAGTTTAGGAATATAAATCTTTAATCCGAATTCCGGTTTGTCCGAACAAAATAACGACCATCGCACTAAAATATATTATTTTATAAGTACACAACTGCTGCAGTGCGCCGTGTTAGCGCTCCGACATCGCGATGATAAGTGATTTACGGCGCGCACGTCGCATAAATCTCTCGTCATACGTTGCCGACCGAGTAAAAAATAAAATAATCACACGCGCACAACGTACGAAACAAATCAATTTTTTTTTGTGCGCCGCAATTTATTATTAACCATCATATATAGATTTATGCACAGCATCACTGCGGCGGCCGACAAAAATATCTTATAACCCCGCGTTTTCGTTGTACAGGCCTGCTGACACACATGGAGCACATGCGCATGGATCCCAAACATCAGTTCGCCGCGCAGTACGTGCTGAGCAGAGCGGCCGCCGAGCGCAGGGAACGGGAGAACTTCCTGGCCGCCGTGACGGCCACCAACAGCATGGGCGGCCCCGCCTCGCCCCATTCCGTTCACTCGGACTCGTCGTCGTCGAACAACGGCGACATGGACGGTCCCAGCGGCGCTGGTTCCACGGGTTCGGTGGGCACCGGCACCAACAGCTCCGTGGCTGCTGCGGTGGCCGCGGCCGCGGCGGCGGCTGCGGCAGGTGGCAACGGCGCCGTTCCCGCAGGTGGCCGGCTGTCTGTCTCGCCGGCCGACAATCAAATCGCGTTGGTGTTGCACCACAACAACAACAACACGACGACAAACAACAACAACAATAACAACAACAACAACAATCCTGCGGCCATCAAGTTGGCCGAGCTAATGGCAGCGAGGACTGGAGGCATGAGTAAGTGTACATTGCAGCCTTCTGCAGTTATTGCCGTCAGTTTGTAGTCGTTTTCGATTAAAACTAATTTTTTTTCCGTTTGTTTGACGTACAGTCAGTGGTAACGGAGGTCACCAATACATGAACCAACAACCCCAGTACAACGCCAACGACCTACAGCGGGCCGCTGCACTGTTCATGAGCCAACAGCAGGCCCACGCAGCCGTTTCGCAGGTTCAACAGCAGCAGCAGCAGCAGCAGCAACAACAGCAACAACAGCAACAGCAGCAGCAGCAACAACAGCAACAGCAGCAGCAACAGCAACAGCAACAGCAGCAGCAACTTCAGCAGAACCCGCCGTCGCCATCGCACTCGCCGCGATCTGCACCTCCGACTCCGGCGTCCGTGGTGCAAGCGGCCGCGGCCAATCTCGCGGCGGCGGCCATGCGCATCACCCAGTCGAATGCCATGCACCAAAATCCGTTGGTCACGACTTCCAGGTACGCACCAATATGATACTATTTATATTATGTACAACCTTCGATCCTGCGATCTCGGCGGGTATTAGAGGTTTTTTTTTTTTTTGGGGGGGGGGGAGGAGTCGTGTAGAGGATGCGACGTTTTCGTCCGACTGAAACGGACTTCAGGAAATGGGGTGATAAAATGACTTGGCGTGCGAATAAAACGGGATCGCGAATGCACTTTAGATGTGACGAATAGCATGCTTGGTGTTTTAACGCGGATGTATTGTTTTTTTTTCGGCAGTGGTTCGGGTTCGAACTCGTCAGTAAATTCGATGCAATCCGCCGTCCAGATGGCCATGAACGCGGCCGTCCGGGCTTCCATGTCGTCCATGGTGGACGGCCTGGGTGGCGGACACCACCAACAGTCCGGTCATCAGTCCATGCTCCACCACCACCAACAGCCCAACCACGAGCAGAGTTCGCCGACGTTGCGCATGCAGGAAGCCATACTCAGGTCGCAGGCGGAGGCGGCGCTCAGGTTGGCCGTCTCGCAAGCCGTGGCCGCGTCGTCCGGCCAACAGCAGACGCCTGAACTGCAGACCCGACAGTCGTCGGTGCAACAGCAGAACGCGCATCAGCCGCAGCAAAACGTAGCGATCAACTACAACGCCATGGCGCAGGGGCAGCTGATGAACGGGCAGAACCCGTACCACCACCAGGGGCAAGTGTCCCCCGACCTGTCGGAGGCGCTCAGGCTCCAGGAACAGCGGCTCGAACAGGCGCTCAGGCTACACGGCGGCGACCCGAGGGCTCTGGGCTTCACTTTCGGTAACACCCAACAGGGTCATATCAACCCATGAGAGTTCAGTTACTATTAACGATGAGAGGACATAACTAAACCTTCCCTCCCCCGCCCCGTCGCCTGTCTAACTTCCACCAAACCCACCCCTCCGCCATCACCATTGGCCGTTGGCCAACTATTATGTTACTATGTGTTATTAATACTGTCGTCTTATTCACAAACACCGTCACCACCACAACCACCATGCATCTCCCAAAGCTCAACGGCGGACCTGCTGCAGCGCGCGCACATGATTATTTATTATTATTGTATTTACGATATTTATTTATTATTATAACCATACTATTATATTAATTACTAGGCGTATTACTTTAATGGATATTATTATTATTATTATTATCATAAGAATAATAACTTTATTTTTACCAAAACAACATTAATAATTGTCCCACTGAAAGACACGTCCTCGTCGTCGTCGACTGCGTTATGAGTACCTGCTTAGACGACGAATTGTGAGTGTCAAATTTGTAAATAATTGTATATACTAATTAATATTATGTAATTGCGATTTTAAAAATTAACCGATTTTTAAAAAAAAAAAACGTCGTTTAGCAAATTTTTGTTGTACAGTCATGTATTATAATATTTGTGGTTTTCTACGTGAGTTGTGTAAAAACAAAATTACATTTAAATCGATAAATCCAATTTATACGGATCTCTCGTAGAGAGATCCAAATAACGTATAATATAAAGCAACATTTAGGTTCCGAAAATATTATTATTTACTTATAAATATTCAAATAATTTTTACTTTATATTTATGTTAGTTTTAATTTTCATCCAAGGGGTTTTTGCAATTTTATTTTATTCAGTTTAAATAGTTTTATTTTTTAGCAAAAAAATAAACTCATTATTCACTTAGTTTACTTCATTTTAATACGATTATTGTCGTTTACTATAATTTTTTCGATGAGGAACTTCTCGGGAAATAATAACACATTTATAATTTATAGGACTCCCAGATGTGTCGTAGGTAGATCAAGAATATATGCAAATTACCCCATCAAAAGCATCTTGTACGAAAAAATATTTTCGGATACTTAAGCTTAAGAAATAAACACCGTGTAATAATAATTAGCATGTAAATAAAATGAAAAACATACTCTCACAAATTCACTGCATTTTCCTCCCTCAACATTGAATTTCTTATGACAACACGACAGAGCGCGCAATCTTGTACATAATATAATATGATAGTGATAATATAGTAGAACAGACATTTTATTTTATTTATTTACTTGTAAATATAATGAAAAAAATTGAAACAACAAAATATTTTCTGAAAAACCAACCCTGTACATAATAATGTAATAATTAAATGATAAAATGGTAACGATGTTTAACAAAATGTCTAATTCTAGTTCTCTCCCCCGCGTACCCACGTACGGCATTTACAACCCGTCCGGGTTATACTTCTCAAAAATTCATATCACGAACATAACAATAAACGAATGCCATGTTACATTTTAAAAATGATAAGCTCACCGTGTTTATGTAGTCCGCGTGAAACCAATGCAAAAAGCGGCTGTCGTGTTCTCTTCGTAATGTTTCCGAAATATATCATTTTGCCGAACATTCGTTTGCAATCCCTTTGATTTTATTATTTTTCCTCATTCAAGTATGATAATACACGTGCGCTTAATTCTTACCTCGAGAGTAGGGAGCAGGAGGACAATAATATTATATGTGATTTTTATTTGTTTGTATTTATTATTAATATTATTGTTTGTTTTTTTTTACCCGTCAACACGCCAATCAAAACAATCTCGTGCAATAAAATAAAGGAAAAATACAAATTCTATTTTCGTTTAATTCTCTGAGACGAACGAGCTGCGGTATATAATAATATGTACATATAAACACATACACCACATAATACCACACTATGATAATATAATATAAACGAGTGTACATAATATATTATGATTATATAAACCACACATATGTTTCTATTCTAATCTCAGTACCATTTGACGGATGACACAGACACGAAATTCAAACAATAATCAAACCGATCAATAGACAAAAAATACGCGATCACGTCTCTCAACAAATTCTATCGATGTACAGGCGGAACCTCTGCAACGATTTTCCGACGTACCCGAGCCCATATAAATCGCGTATTTCACACACACACACACACACACATTATAAATATATTATAATAAACAATAGCCCAAATACACGCTATCGCTGTGTATCACAGACACAAACACACATTATGCAAGATTTTCTCGCAGATTTTAATACAATAGTATTATATTCATTTAGCGGATAGGTCCGAATACAATAATAACGCACGCACCGCGCTTAATATATTAATATTATTTGCTGTGCGTACAGTTTATACAATAGCCCAAACCGGAAAGTTTCCGGCCACACATACACACACATAAGCCATTGCTAGTTGTTCAAAATTTCGAGTCTAATGATACTCAAATGTTATCGAATTTTTGGTTTCACTTTCTTCACAATATTATATCCGTCCCCCGGCCGTCCACAACAACCATTACACTCATCGCTATGGTAATATTTACGTACGCGTATCCAACCGTTATCGCAGGTCGCAACTCTAATTAAGTAACTATTACTTATACTTTCATGCTACAATTACTGTGTACCTAAGTACTGCGAACGCTTACCGTTTTCGGGGACGTCCGGCGCGGGACCCGAACGTGCAATGGACCAACATCATAATATATACCCAGACGCAGATTCGTCGAATCTGTATTTTTTTCTTTTAATTGTTTATTTATTTTAAAACTGATGATCAGTTATAATCCGTTAGATATTATTTAGCTAATAGGTGTAATACAAATACATAGTTCGTAGGATACTTTTAGTGCCGTTTTAAATGAAATACATAATACCATAATAATAATCATATCTATAACGATAACAATAATGATAATAAATACAGTTTGAGATAAATAAAACGGTCCAATGGTTATTATTTTTATTTTTTTTATTAAGTTTTTCTTTAATCTTGAATGTGTTTTTCAATATTTTAATATTGATAGTCGAATTCAATGTATTATACCCATTTGTATTTTTGTTTGATTGATGACAAATGTATAATTGTTCACTTGCAAAGTGATTACCTTTATTATTATTATTTTATTTGTTATTTTTTTTTTTTTACAAAAAATAATACGTTTAAATTTTTAAAACTATTTTGACCTAATTTTAATGGGTACCTAGTTTTATGATTATTATTGTTTACTTTTGACCCGCTATTTGTACACGTACCTACCTTTTTATACGTTAACGTTTATTTTTATTTTTTTCATGCCCAGTTGAGTTTTCATTTTGCCGTTTTATTTTATCAGCTTTTTAACAATATTGCAATTAACAATTAATACAAGTAGTTTTATCGTTATAATTTAGTTTTCCGTTTTTTGCTGACTATGTTTGTGTTACAATAGTTACAGTATACTACGACTTTTTTCATTATTATTATTATTATTATTATTACTATAACAATAATACATTATTACAGTTTCAATAATATTACATTAATTACATTACATAATAGTTATTGGATTTAGACAGTGTTTTTTTTTTTCTAATGAATGAATGAAATATACACTATAAACGTAGTTTGAAATATTTAGTCTTACAATATTTGAATAAGAATAATAATAGTCAACATACATATAATAGTACGGTTTTCAGTTTTACACACACACACTCATACAGACAGAATGTTTAAATGTTTCTATTGTTACAAAAATCAATTATAGTTTTAAAATTAAACAATTGATTTTGATTTTTTTTCTATTGTGTTCCTTTTGGTGTTAAGTTTATGTTATACGCATATATCTGTTCAGTTTTTTTCGTGTGGTATGTTTTTTTTTTTTTGTATAAGCTACAAATTTAATGCTAAATTATACGGTCCTCCCCCAAAAACTTATTTTTATTATTTGTATTAAGTTGCTCAAAAACAAAAAAAATTTAATAAATTGGAATAAAAATGTATTTAAAAAGTATATAATATATATTATTATAACCATTGTAAAAATTTTTTGGGAAACAATTTTATTGTCAAGATATTCGATGTTAATATTATATTATTACATATGATTTTTTTTATTATTATTATAATTATTATTATTATTATAATTATTATTATTATTATTATTATTATTATTACTTATTACTACTATATTATTTTCGGTTCCTTAATATTATTATATTTTGTCATGAAAATTATTGTCCTGAAGTTTTGAAACACGACTATATTATATTATATTATACGTTTCGATTCGATAAATTGAACAAAAATAAAAATATAAGTGAAAATAAAAAAAATGATGTTTGTGTAGTAAAACGATATTTATATTATATATTGTATTAAAAATTTAGTTAATATGAAATATACGTTAAAGTCATTAAAGTCTCGAAACTTGCGTATTGTTTTTTGTCTACATCTATATGTAGTAGGTACATAACTGGTTATTTAGGTATATCTAGCTTATGATATATTAACACCTACGTACGATGCCTATTTTCTTAACTTAGAAAAAGTTTTTTTTTTTTTTTAAAGACGTAAATATTATTACCAATTGTATATTAAGTTTGAAGACTAAATTTAAAATTCTGTGGATATTTTAAACAGTATACTGTGCATATTAACTTCTTAACCTAACCTGCTATACTTTGTAGCCTAGCAGTATCTAAATGGTTAAAAAAAGAAGTAAGGATTTTTTAAATGAAACAAAGTATTTCTTTAATATAAATTTCAATAAATCCAAGCAAATTAAATCTTAAAAAATATATATGATAAAAAATATTCAAAAACTGAGTGATTCTGCCTACGGTGGATTTTTTATTCAAGATATATATATATATCTGATATAAAAACTTTGACACCGAAATTATTGATAGTCTATGAGTGATATTTTAAAGATGAATTGTATCAAGAAAAAAAATAAGATCTTGGCTCATTTAAATATGCTAATTAAGATAACGTACAATAATCATACCTTAATTTTAATGCTATCGGTTGAGATCAAGATCTGTTATTAAAATATTAATTGATGATCTCCGATGTATTCTGAACCTATATACTTATATTAGTCGGCTTCAACAGCACACTTATTGTTTTTTTTTTGTTCAGACTTCGTTTATAGTGCGTAGTGCATTACGCGATTTTTCGCATATTTCACGGACTTAGATGGACCGTGAATAACCTATTCGATTATCTTGGTTAAATCGGAAAAAACGTAAACACACACACACTAGCCGGTCACGGCCTTGACAGTTTCAGGAAATCGCCGAACTAAATCAGGTCAATTCGTCATTAT